ATATATATGGGAGCTATAATCAAATCTGAGCGTATTTGAATATAATTTGTCAAATTTATTTTTGTACCAAATTTAGCCACTCATGCCGACTTTCATTGGAATCGGAAATACGTATCGTGTTTTGTGCATCAAATATGTGAAATCGGCGGAAAATATATATGGGAGCTATATCCAAATCTGAACCGATTTTAATATAATTTGACTAATTTATTTTCTAATCAAAATCCCGTACATATTCCAAATTTCTTTGGAATCGAACATTCATATCGTGTATGGTGCATAAAATACATGAAATCGGTCGAAAATATATAAGAGAGCTATATTCAAATCTGAACCCATTTTAATATAATTTGACAAATGTATATTTGTTTTAATTTGCACTACACATTCCAAATTTCATTGAAATTAGAGATACATAGCGTGTTTGGTGCATCAAATACATGAAATCGGTCGAAAATATATATGGGAGCTATATCCAAATCTGAACCGATTTCAATATAATTTGGGAAATCAATTTTTTAGATAAAATCTATCACACGTTTCAAATTTCATTGAAATTGGGTATACATAGCGCGTTTGGTGCATCAAATGCTTGAAATCGGCCGAAAATGTATATGGGAGCTATATACAAATCTGAACCGATTTCAATATAATTTGACAAATTTATTTTCGGATTATATCCCGTCACACATTCCAAATTTCATTGTGTTTGAGGCATCAAATGAACGAAATCGGTCGAAAATATATATGGGAGCTATATCCAAATCTGAACCGATTACAATATAATTTGGCAAACTTATTTTTGTTCCAAATTTCGTTACGTATTCCAAATTTGGAGACTGTATCTTCAACCAATCAATAGATATGTGCATATAAAATCAAAATTTTTGGAAGGTACCTCCGAATCTGATGCTATATCTCCAGTTCCAAGTGGAAATTCAAAAATGTATATAGCCTATGTTACTTTCAGGCGATGTTGCAGTATATATGGAAATTTTCAGGAAAATCTATTCAGCGGTTTTCGAGTCCATAAATTACAAACAAACATTTTCCTCTTTTATTGATATATATATATATATATATATATATATATATATATATATATATATATATATAAATATATATATATATATATATATATATATAAATATATATATATATATATATATATATATATATATATATATATATATATATATATATATATATATATATATATATATATATATATATATATATATATATACTGGTGGCTAAAACTAAAGCAACTGAAGTTACAAGGATAATGAATGCCCTGTAAGTTTTTCTAGTATTAAAAACTTAAAACAAAAAACCAAAATTCATTTTCATATAAAAAATAATATATGGTAAAGCCAATTAACCTGATTTTGGCTTGGACAAAACAAAAGCTACTCTGTTGTACATTCATATGATTGCTACAATTTCAGTTGTGTTTACTGTTATATTTATAGCTTTTTGCTTCCTTCAACAATTTCGGTTGTCATAAATCAATTGTGAGAAGTTTTTTACAACAGCGAGTATTTTTTTTTTTTTTCGTTTTTTAAGAACTTCCCGAAAAAAGTTTAAAAATGGCTAGAAGCAAATACATTACACGAATAAAACGGCAAATTATTCGTAACTACGAAAACAATCTATCCCAGAAAATGATTTCGGAGAAATATTTCATAAATATTTCTGTTATTTCTCGCATACTAAGTCGATTTTATGAAACTGGATCAGTAGTAACAGTCTATAAGGGATGAAGGCCGTGAAAAACTTCAGCCCGTACTGATCAACAAATTGTGAGAGAAATAAAAAAAACAACCATTTAAGAGTTCAACTGAATTGGTGAGAGAGCTATCATTGGATACAAGCTCGAGATCAGTGCGTAGACGAGTAGTGGCAACTGGTCTGCATGCCCGTAAGCCATCAAAAAAGCCATTTGAAAAAATCGAAAACCAGAATGGCTTTTGCTAACGATAATGTTAATTGGAATTCAGCTCAATGGAAAAACATTTTATTCTGGGATGAGTCTACGTTTTATGTTAAAGACTCAGACATGAAAGAATTTACGATGAGAATACCAAAAAATGAAAGAAATAAGCCGCAGTGTCAAATAGCTCACTCCAGAATCTACAGTGGTCCTTGCTATTGTAGACTATATAAGGCTGAAGAAGGGGTAGAGTCTATTCAATAGATGGTCTGTCAGAAATTGTGAGGTTCCGACGGATCACACATACGACGAAAAAGTCGCAAACCTAGGCAAATAAGAAGAGATTTGACAGAAGCACGGTGGTTGAGTACTTGTTAGGCTTATTATAATTGTTATCATCTGAAAAATCGTTCCATACATTTCATGACAAGCAATAAATGTAGTTGTTTTTAAATTTGGCAAAATCAAAGTGCAGTTGCTCAGTTCTTGTTCTAGGAAAAAAAAAAAAGAAAATATATTTCTTTTTTAATTTTCATAGAACAATAATCCAGCCAGATTTGAAAGATTTACAGAAGGAAACCATTATCATCATATACAACCTAAAATTTTATTATTATATAAGACCCTAAAACTTGAATGCATTATGCGGAATAGTACAATATTTTAGAGATTTATAATGTTTTATACTTTTTTTTGTTTTATACAGCTATATGACGCTTTTGTTTATAATTTTTCGACAGTCGAAACCCCATAAAACCGTCAAACGGACTATCTCTGGTCTATTGAACACCTACAATGCAGAAGGTTTATGTTATCAAACAAGAGATTAAGAATATATGGCAGGTGGAGGAGATAAACTATCATTTATCTCAGACGTATATCCCATTCCATTTATCCTACTTTTTCTAGCAGCTCCCGACTCCTGTGCAGCTGCGCATCATTAAACCTAACAATTTCGGATGGTGCGTGGCACATTGTGAATCATAAAATCTAATCCATTAAATCGGTTATTATAAAGTGAAGCAAATTCGATGATGAGATTTAATTAGATTGCCTACACTTAAAAGCAGACGTATTATGTTGAACTCCATGTTTGTACTAAAAATATTAAATGGTAATATACCTTCAGATTTTCTAATCTCATCTATTAGAATTAATGATCCGTTTAGATCTAGTAGATACTACCAATTATTATATACTGATTTTCACCGCACGAATTATTCAATGGGCGAACCTCTAAGTAAAATGTGTGTTGACTTTAATTCTGTGTATTGTAATGTAGATTTTGGTATGATTTTATGTTTAAACAATTAAAATACATGTTTTATTATTTGACAAACTAGCTGATGAATTAGATTCTGTAGCTGGTTTTCAATTTCCTACTAAATTCCCATTATGATGCGGATCATGATGTGTACGCGATCCCTCCGTAAAGGGAGGCCGCCCCCTCGGTCGGCAGGGGTGGGAATGTGAGGCGTGGGAACGTTCGAATATAAAAAAGATGCTGCGTTTTAGGTTGCGGTTCTGGAAGATGTGAGAGAGTTACTACGTAGGGGACCGAGGTCTAATTTCTACGCTTTGGGTGGTTGACTTCCGGAGTATACAGCACCTACATCTTTATAATTGCAATTAAGATCGGTCTTTTATATAATTGCAACATCACTTGTCGAAAACTTGTAGTTGTACCTCCTCGGCTCTATTTTGTATCTCGGTTGTATAGCTCTCGGCATGCTCGACAAAGTAGCAGTTAAAGTAGCCAGTGCATCAGTTTGATCTGTCAATGTTACATCGTTAAACGCGACTAAGGTAATATCATCCTTTTTTCATATGGAAACAACGTCGTTTAGAGATTATAAAACCGGTGAGATGGTCTACGACAATTATGGTGAGATGGTCTGAGCCAAGTGAAACGTTGTGTTGCCGTTATTTATTAGAGCAGTTGAATCTATGGCTAAGGGCTCAAGCGAGATAGTTCTCTGTTGAACATAATGATCTAACAGGAACGCTAATTCCCCAACTCCGCTTCCAGTGCGATCCTTCCCAAATAAGTTGTAATCACAACATTGTTGTAGGGCTGCAAATCACATTAATTTGGTTTTATAGCAACGTTTCCAGAATTCATAAAATCCAAAATCTAATCTATCCATCTTTAACTATTTTTTAAGATCTGTGATGGGTGACGTTTTGACAAATAGAGCCAACGTTAGGGCAATCCCGAATGCAAGTGGCATATTGTTCGAGCCGCAATACGAACATGTAGACTGATGACTTTTTTACGCAAATATTTGTATCACTGATTGACTACTTTTTTGGCATCACTAATCTAAGATCCATTACTTCTTAAATATAGACCCGACTGGCGTGTTCTAATTGTCGGAACAAATATCCGAGTGCCCATGATCCCTGGAGGCGAACAACTGGCGCCTCAAATCATCCCGTGATCGGAGTTGGTCTACCGAAGATTAAGACCCCCTAACGCTGGGGTGTTACATAAACCGTGCCCATCAGTGTTCCTCGGTTTGCAGTCAGGGTACCGACTGTATTCGTACGGTTGTCTCACTGATACCTGGGCGCCTCAGTGAGTAACAGGCTTAGTTGCCAAGTCCTTACCATGGTAGGGAGGCTATGACATGGTGGACCTCGTCTCCTCCAAGTCCGACACTCACATGGAGAACAAAAATATAAACAAACATAAAACCAAACTCCCAACAAACACCAATGACACTATTGCTCTTGGAGAAGAAACGACCAAGGACCGGCTTACAGTGACGTCATCCATGACAGTATCCACAAACACAGTGAACAATTGTCCGCTCTCAAAAACGCTGAGGCTCAGTCAGGAAAGTGTTCCTTCTGGCTTTGGAAATGACTCACCACTCTCTGATGAGGAACTTGACATCGCGGTCATTTCCTCGTTTCAAAGTGGTAAGTCATTTCAAAAAGCCGCTAAGAACACTCCCAACGAGACTTGTGCAGAGTCACAACCCCAGGAGGGATCATCGTCGGTTGCAAAACGTCGTTGATCGGCAAAACGCCATCAACGTAGGTGCTGGCACGAATCCTACCAGCAACCCTACCTCTCACGAAGGCGAAAGCAAGGCGGGGCTATAAAAGGTCGGTAAATTACTGCAAGAAATGTATCGGCCAGGACCCCGCGCAGGTAACCGAAAGAGAGAGGATTCTGATTAAGATGAACCTCAAGGTAATTGCAAAGTTCGAAAAGAACTACCCGCATTTACCAAGCTGTTCTCCTAATCAGGTTCTTCTAGCTCTCCTACCGTCTGCTATCAATAGTAGGGTGGACCCACCCGTGGTTCTGTTGAGAAACCAGTGCCCGTGATAGCCGCAGCCTCGGCAGTCCCAAAGGAAGCTGACAACTCTTCACACTCAGCGTTAAAGAGAGGTCGATCTACGGAGGAACCATACCCTGAGGCCAAGAAGGCTTCTACGGCCCCGGCTTCTCAGCCTACACCTATAACTTCCACTCCGTCCGTCAGCAAGTCGATCGTGACCAAACCGTCCCTTCAAGCTCTAAGCCTTATAAGGACCACAAGGGGGAGGTGAAGTCACAACCGGCAAGCCAAACAGGACGTAAGAGGACCATCTACCCGGACAATCTTCGAGTAGCAATCATCGACAAGGTTGAACCGGAAGGTAAAATCAGCGACAGCCGATGGCTATTATTCGAAGATCGACTGAGAGGGCTTGTTTTTACGGAAGAGGGTGACCCGAAAAGAATGTAGTTTGGCAGCGCAACCCTTTACAAGGGCGTAAAAGTCATGTGCTGTGAAAACCAGGATTACCTAGTCACTGCAGTATCTGGATTTCGCGATCTCTGGTGTCCTTAAAGAACATCCCCTGCCGTAAGGTATTGACAGCTTGGGTGCCACCACCATCCGTGGACTAGGGAGTGGGCAGTACGTCTCTTACGCGGTCTCCAATGGTGATAAGGTAAGGACGTGTATTGTTGCCAAAAAGAGTTTAAATCTTATCTTCATTAGCAACTACAGTGGAGGAGACGTTACGGTGGCGGGAATGGATTCTAAATCCGGGAGGGTTCTCATTTTCATCTCTCTCTACCTACCGTACGAGCGACCTGACCCACCTGGCCACGAAGTAGAGGAGCTGCTCAAAGATCTGGCTGACAAAGGGCATCTAATTATAGGTTGTGATGCCAATGCACACCACTTCCAATGGGGCAGAAACGATACCATTGTCAGAGGTGAGTCCATTTTTGATTTTATCCTGAAATATAATCTCAAAATATGTAATAGGGGCAACGATGCAACATTTCAAATCAAAGACAGGGCAGAGGTCATTGACCTTACCCTTACTAACAAGGATGAATCTCTTATACAAGACTGGAAAGTTTCTCCTTTCAAATCTTGTCTGTGTCTATCCTACATCCCGGAAGTCACCGTCACTTATATCCCCAAAGCGGGGAAACCGAGTCACTCACATCCTAAGGACTATAGACCGATAAGTCTCTCATCCTTCTTATTGAAAACTTTGGAAAGGCTGATAGACATAGAGATCAGATCTCTACTACCCAAGACCGCCATCAGCACTGCTCAGCATGCCTATATGAAAGGTAAATCTGTTGAAACAGCGCAACATGATGTCGTAGGGTATATAGAGAAGAACATGAATGACTCCTTATTCACCTTGGCTGCCTTCCTCGATATTGAGGGAGCCTTCAACAACGTCACGTTAGAATCCATTCATGCTTTACTATCAAAACTTAAGGTACCCCAACTCCTCATAGACTGGGTTGATACCATGCTTAGCAGCAGAATCATCAACTCAAGCATTGGGCAATCCCACGGCAGCGGGTTCTACGATACCGGATTGACCCGAAACAACAAGTTTCCTGTTTCGGCCAGCGGCTGCCAACCCAGTATGTACATGTTTGTGTTTGTTTATTTTTCTGCATTGGGAGCAGCATATCCCGGAATGCTTGCTCCGGATTTTATTGGTCCGTGCCGGGATTGAGGAAAACCCCGGACCTTGGTTCTGCTCGGTTTGTCAGAACGTCATCCACCACAGATCTGTCTCGGTGCGATGTAATGGATGCAGAGAGTGGGTGCACTTCAAGAACTGTTCCGGATTAAGGCGTTTGCGAGACTACAGCGAAAGGGATTATGTTGCGACTTGCTGCAGTAACGTAGTCCCCAGCGAGTCCTCTTCTTCGTCGTCCTCGTCAGAGACGTCGTCGGAGTATGGCACTCCACCGCAGTCTCCAGAACAGCAACCAACACCGCAGCACCTAACGCCACATGTTGCTGTTCCAACTCCGGATTGTGCATCATTCTTGCAATTCAATTGCAACGGACTTCGAGGCAAAATAGATGAGATAGTGGAATTTATGAGTCGGAGGAATATTAAGATCGCAGCGGTGCAGGAAACCAAGCTGAATGAAAATTGCAGCCTACAACGTTGTTATGGTTACAACGTACTAAGGAAGGATCGCACCAGAAGTGGAGGTGGGGGATTAGCGTTCCTGTTACACCATTCTGTTCAGTACAGACCTATCTCGCTTGAGCTAGTCTCTAGTGACCCATACATGGAATGTATGGGGGTAGCAGTCAAGTGTGGAACTGCCGAGGTAGAGGTGCTTAATGTGTATATCCCGCCGATTAATAGCTGTGAACCACGTTATTTGCCTGATATTAGCCCATTATTGGTAGGCAATAACCGCCTGGTACTAGGGGATTTTAATGCCCACCATGAGTTGTGGCATTCCGTCCTAGGTAATGACCAGAGGGGATCAGCGCTGGCAGAGCAGATTGACTGCTCCACATTCTGCACGGTTAACGAGGATGCCCCCACCCGAATAAGAGGAGAGTGTCACAGTTCGCCAGATTTAACCATAGTGTCACCCGGTCTGATAAATGACGTGACTTGGCAACCCGTCATTTCTCTTGGCTCAGACCATCTCCCGATAATCGTCTCCATAAGCAGGTCGCCCGATTTCATAACCTCTGAACGCCGCACTTTCCTTAACCATGGGAAAGCTCACTGGCCAGAGTTCAGAGAATTCACCAACCGCCGCTTCAGAGAACTGCCCAACCCTTCTGATGTTCGGGTAGCAGAAAGGATTTTCCGAAACATCATCAGAGCTGCAGCCGCTCGCTATATACCTGCTGGTCGAATACCCGAGATAAGACCAAACTTCCCAGCAGAGGCAGCGGGATTAGCAAACGAGCGTGATGATCTCCGTCGTACCAACCCTACTGATCCTAGAATCAGTGATTTGACAGTGGAAGTCAACCGGTTGGTGCAGGAGCATAAGAGGAAAAAGTGGCTAGACCATCTGAAGTGCTGCAACATTGGAACCGATATGAGTAAGCTGTGGGTAACGGTTAAGTCGCTCTCGAACCCTGGAAAAAAGGATGATAGGACCTCAGTCACTTTTAACGACGTAACGGTGACTGATCCGAAGAGGTGCGCGGAATATTTTAACCGACAATTTGTCGAGCACCCCGAGAGTGATAGGGCGAAGCGAAGAGTACTACGTCGTATCAGATCTCTTCCCGCCGAGGAGGAACCACCACAGTTTACGATGGGTGATGTTGCAAATGTCATCCGTAACGCTAAGTCATCCAAAGCGTTGGGCCCGGACGGAATCTCAATGGTAATGTTGAAGCAGCTGGATACGCCGGGAGTCGAGTACTTAACAAAAGTTCTCAATTTGTCGCTAGCCACCTACATAGTGCCCGAAACCTGGAAAATGGGCCGGGTGGTCCCGCTACTGAAGCCAGGCAAGGATGCCAGTAAAGGCGAATCGTACAGGCCGATTTCGCTTTTGTCGCCAGTAGCAAAGACTCTTGAGGCTTTACTCCTCCCCAGCATTAGAGGAAGCTATGCAGTTGCCAACCACCAGCATGGATTCCGTCCACAACATAGTACCACAACAGCATTACACGCCATTTCCACACATATTAGTAGAGGACTAAACCAGAACAGGCCGTGTGACAGAACAGTGTTGGTAGCCCTTGACCTATCAAAGGCATTTGATACGGTCAATCATGCCACACTGTTTGAGGACGTACAGAGAACTACCCTCCGGCCAAGTTTGAAACGTTGGATAATCAACTATATGTGTGGACGCCAGTCGTACGTGGAATTCCGGAACAAGAAGTCCAAAGCCCGTAGAGTGAAACAGGGAGTTCCCCAAGGTGGGGTGATATCTCCGGAACTGTTTAACCTCTACCTTTCCGGAATTCCTCGCCCTCCAGACGGCATTGAGATCGTAACGTATGCGGATGATTGTACGATCATGGCGTCGGGTCCAGTGGTCGATGACATATGCGAAAGGTTGAACCCCTATCTCGCGGAGCTTGCCGCATACTTCCACGCGAGGAATATGAAAATATCCGCCACGAAATCAACGGCCACACTCTTTACCACATGGTCTGCGGAGATGAGAACACAGCTGAATGTTCAGGTCGAGGGGAATTTAATACCGACCACGAACTACCCCAAGATTCTTGGGGTAACGTTCGACAGCATGTTCAAGTCGTCCGCGCAAGCCACAGCTATCTGCGACAAGATGAAAAGTAGGAACAAGGTCCTCAAGGCGCTAGCCGGCAGCTCTTGGGGTGCGGACAAAGAAACCTTGTTGACCTCTTATAACGCGATAGGTCGGTCTGTGGTCAACTATGCGGCTCCAGTGTGGTCTGCGAATACTAGTGCTACGCAGTGGAAGAATATCCAGACCTGCCAGAACGCTGCCCTGAGAACTGCGACAGGGTGCCTCCTCATGACACCAGTGGACCATCTACATGAGGAGGCGAAAGTCCTTCCCTTACGTCAGCATAATCATATGCTTTCGTTGCAGTACCTGCTTGGGTGTTACCGTGAGAGCCATCCCAACCATCACATGGTGGATAACTCTCCCCCACCCAGGCGTGTCAGGAAGGACATACATGATCTAGAGAGGGAGGTCCAGCGCTACAAGAGAGAGCCTCTAGATCAAGAAGCCTATCAGGCAGGTCTGAGTGGCATTCACACCGATGCAGTCGCGGATGCTATTAGCAGTTACAAAGTGAATGCCGTCCTCGGAGTCCACCCCCCATCCATTGCAGCCGAAGAACGTCAGCTGCCTAGACAAACCAGGGTAGTTTTGGCGCAATTACGTTCAGGATGGTGTAGTCGCCTCAATTCGTATTGGGCACGAATTGATGAAGATGTGCGTGACGCCTGCCCGGCGTGTGATACAGGCCCGCACAATACGCTACACCTTTTTAATTGCTCAGCCAAACCTACCCAACTCACTCCAGAGGATCTCTGGCTACAGCCCGTTAAAGTAGCCGAATTTCTAAACCTGGAGCTGGAACCAGATTAGCAGAACACAAACACACACATGTACTACTGCTACAACAACAACAACTCAAGCATTGGGGAAACATCCGTCAGGAAATCGGTCGCTAGGGGCAAGCCGCAAGGGGGCGTCCTATCACCATTACTTGGGCTTTTGGTTATTAACAATATACTTATAGATCTAGAAGTAACAGGGACAAAAGTAGTCGCATACGCTGATGATGTCGTCCTATTAATTGCAGGGAAATTACTGCAAACAATCTCGGACCTAATGCAAGGAGCTCTAGCCACCCTATTACGGTGGGCGCGTCGCAATGGATTAGGCGTGAACCCATCAAAGAAAGAGCTCGCCCTTTTCACTAAAAAACGTAAATATCCTTCATTTACACCACCGAGACTAGATGGAGTCACTTTAAACCTCTAACCAGAAGCCAAATACCTTGGCACTATCCTTGACCGCCAATTAAGTTGGAAGAGGAACACTGAGGAACGAGCTAAGAGAGGCTCTATTCCTGTAAGAACTCCATAGGTAAAAGCTGGGGCCTCAAACCACACATTATTAAATGGATGTATGAGTCAATCGTTTGCCCCATTATAACCTATGGATCTCTAGTATGGTGGCATTGTTTGAAGAAGTCAACCTACTCACGACACATTAACAAAGTTCAAAGAGCCGCATCCCTACTAATAACGGGTGCCTTCAGGAGCATGCCTCAAGAAGCACTGGATACTCTACTGGGTATAAGTCCGCTGAGCATACATGTGGAGGAACAGGCATTCAGGAGTGCTCTTCGACTCAGAGAACTAAACGAATGGCGCAGTCAACCCTTTGGCTGGACGAAATGGGATGCACCATCTCCAAAAGAATCTGGCCCACACTCTCAGAGAAGAGAACAAGGTCGCTGCTGTCATTGTCAAAACCTGATCTAAAACTTGAGGTGGGTATCGTCACAGGTCATTGTAAGGTGAGGGCTATGACCTCGAAATGGGACAGCGACGACATTGACTACTGTAGGATCTGTCAAGATGAAGAATAAATCGAGACAGTCGAACACTTGCTCTGCCACTGTCCAGCACTTATTAATGTGATACACAGACTAGTGGGAGAACTAGTGTCCCATGATCTGTCTTATTTTTCTAACACTATAGTAATCCTTCAATTAGCCAGAAGGTGGGTAAAGACGACACGGCAAACTCCTCAGCCGTAGATCAAACTCTATAACTCTATCTCTTATCTTCACCTCTTCTACCAACCACTTCTTTTTCTTTTCTTAACATTCTTCTAGGATGAACACAATGGTCCTATAGGTCTCCGAGTGGAGCGGTTGCCATATGATAACCGCGCGTCTCTTAACCTAACCTAACCTATCTTATCACCAAATGACAAATTAAAAAAAAACAACTGGCTAAATAAAACGCATTCTTATTACGAAAAATTATTGATGATTTTTTATTTTAAAATAGGGGTTTTGTACCAAAAATAATGTAAATATTAAATTTCTATTATTAAAGTAGGCTAGAGAGTGAATACAAAATATAAATGTTAATTATTTTAAACTTTATGATTTACAAAACTTTAATTATAAATTAAAGCAGTTATTTCGTGGAGGTTAAAACTATGAAACTAAATGTACTTTAAGTAGATGTTGCATATAGAAAAGTAACTCAATTATTTGGGTATTGTTGTAGAGACAAAAATAAAAGCGAAACCGTGGTTACTATGTACACACAATATGTGATTCATTAGGATTGTGTAATAAATAAGAAAACATAGATAGTTAATGTTTCATAGCGACAAAAACGAAAGAAAAAACCGAAAACAACGTCAAATTTTGGAATGGAATGATGAAAAAATTCTTTCAAATTTGTGTGATATGACAAAATTAGAGGAAGACGATTGGCATGTAATTTATATGGGTAATATGGTTTATAGTGATTTAATTTTGGAAGCCTTAGCAACATATATAAAAGGACAACTAGAAAATACAATTGTTCGGAACGGTATGATTGTGTTGTGGATATTGATCTGAAAGACGAGTCTTTTTGCGTTCTAGTATCAATAGTGCCACGCTGCAACGTGTTTACTTTTAGGAGCCTTTCAAAATAGGATTTATGGTTATGTACGTTGTTTTAGTTAATCAATATTCTTCAATTAATTATATTACTTCCGATTGATTCGGCTAATATGGATTCTTGCAAAAAAGAAAAAAAAAAAGAGAAGAAAACTAGAATTATCAATGTACACATATACAATGTTAAAATAAATATTGGATGAATGTGTAAAGCTTAAACCTATATGTATATATATATATATATATTAATATAGAAATCAGACCAAACTTACAGTGTAAAATTGGAGTTAAAATTTAGAATTTTCGTTTGTGTATATCTTTAACATTAGCATAATAGTATTATTTTAAGAGATGTTTTCATATTTATTGCTGTTTTATAGTGCTGATCACTGCACTATTCCATTCTTTATTATATATTAAATTTTCTAAAAAGAAAAAAAAAAACTAAACACGTTGTTTCCAAAAGACATTACTTTTTTAATAAAAGTTTAATATTTCATTTCTATCGATAGATGAATATAGGTAGTCATTGTATGAATAAATAATTTGTTTCTTTTTATTTTTAATTCAAAATAAAATTAACGTAGAAATGTACAATTAAAGTTAAACAGTAATGTAGGCATTTTGTATTAAATACGAATGAGTAGTACAACAGTACTTCATTATTGTTATACGCTATGTATATATATATATATGTAGAATACAATGTATGTGTATTAACTTAGAGGGTTATAAATTATGTGGGGATTGTTGTCATTTGTTGTGTTAATTTGTGTATGCTCATTAAATACTTGCAAATAAATAATTATATTTATATAAATATGTATGTACGTACGTTCGTATATATGTTGTATGTTAGCAAATATGTAAGGTTATATGATGTGTCATACTTATGTAAATGAAGATCTAACTTATTGTTTGTTTAATCCAATATATTCTATACATAATTTGAACTTTTAGCTTTTTAGAATATCTATACATTTTCTATAGTTTTAATAGAACTAATGATGGGATTTCCAAAGCAACATAAACTCCAATTCTCACAGTATATGAAATTGCGCTAAAGGAAGGAACATTAAAAGGTGGTAAATGACATTCCAATGAGTTTATCTATGTAATATTTATAGCTTTGTGTGTACGACCAGTTAACATTTTCAAAAAACCAGTTAAGCACTGATTCAGCATTCGCTATTTTCTCTTAATTTCAATGATATTTACTTTTAGCGCATTTATGTCGCAACAGCAACCCCATATTGGACATTACATTCATCAATCCCTTTCACGACTGTTACTTATATAAGCACCCAATTTTGAATAATGTATTTGTATGTATATATCACATGTTTAATTTATATATAACAAAAGACCGATCTCAATAAAAAAACGATAATGTTTTTGTTTTCATTCAATACTGATTAGCATTGTTTAATGTGTGTGAAGTTTATGTTACCTTGGATGAGATGAAATGAGATACTACTAGAGTAGTAGATGCATTTTTGGTCTTGGAAGGCATATGGAGGAAGCGAAGGTAAGTACCGTGATAAAAAAAAAAAAACTAAAAACAAAGAATTAATATAAGGTGAAGCCCGATTTTATCCCACCAGTTTTCATTCAACATTTGTTAGCATATCTCTCAACTGATAGCTTTTCACGCAAATAAATGCTAGAGGTAGGGGTAATAGTAGGTGCTACACTAGATGTGGTGGAAGAGTTGCTAGAGGAAGGTGTCGCTGACGAATGGTGGTGTACCATTGCAGCTGCACGCACTGAATGCTGATTGTTTTGTTGTTGTTGCTGCTGCTGCTGTTGTTGTTGTTGCTGATAGAGAGAAAGTTGTTGCTGGCGTTGTTGCGACGATGATGACTGCAGATTGTGCATGAAATATGCGTTCATATTACTCTGCTGCTGTGAATGTTGTTGATGATACGGATATGCCATTACCAATTGCATTTGCGGCAAAATTTGTTGCTGATGTTGGTGTTGCTGTGCCTGTAGATCCATATGCCCCGCAGTGCGCATCATTTGCAAATAGTTGTCATCGCCTATCGGTGCCTGCCGACTGCCATACTTCAATTCGCGCGATATTCCCTGTTTGTAGTTTCGATGATCTTTGTCTATGACATACGCCACTTCTCTCAACTGCATAATTGTCGCTTTGAATTTCGAATACAAATGCGGTGACTGCTGTTGCAGTGTCATCGCTGTTGCAACCAACGGATTGTGCTGTTGCTGCAGTTGATGAAACACCCCGACTTGGTCGAGAAATGCTTCCAATTGTGTCATATGAGACATGATAAGGGTATGAATGCGTTGCAAATCCAACGCTGGATCCAGAGCGGTTATCAAGTCCATTTGAAAATAGTCCATAGCCTCCGCCGACACGTTTTTACAACCAGGAGCGTTTTCATCTGATCGATCACAGCAGCTATACACGCCATTTACAAAAGCAGATGGGTGAAAATATTGTGATCTTATAGAATTTGTTAGACATATTTTATGAAGCAGGTCAATCCATTCTCTTTCTTCTACACAATTTGTTGTCTGTACTATAAGCGAACGGTCTTTGCGTACAATCTGAAAAAAAAAAAAAACAAAAGAAAAATTAATTTTGAATGCCAAATAATTAATAGGAGTAGAATCAACAGCATTAATTACACCCGATTGGCGTGTTCTAATTCTATTCGACTGCAGGAAGCATCGCAGATGTTATGTATGAACAACAACTTGGATAAATTGTAAGCAACGATGGTTATAATACTTCTTATTCTGTACCAAAAATAATGTAAATTTTTAATTTCTTTTATTTAAATAGGCTAGAGAGTGAATACAAAAAATAAATGTTAAAAAAATTCAAATTTTTTGGCTTACAAAACTTATAAATAACAACTTAATTGTAAATTAGAGCAGTTAATTCTTGGAGGTTAAATAATAGGAGTAATATCATCTCGGTGAAGGCGAAAACTTCATGAAAATGTTGCTAAAAGTAAATATACGAAATATACGAAGTTATAAACTGGCTTGATATAATTAAATATGTTTCCACAGAAGCTCCAAAAATTGCGACTTGGAGCAACTGCTTTATTTACCAAGTGACTATATTAAATGTTATTGTCACTTGGATACTATAGCTGCATAGTAGTATAACACAGGCAAAAAATTCAAAATTGTCGTCGCAAAAATTTCATAACTTTGCTTGAAAAACAATTGTGATGTACAAATTGTTCTCAAGTTTGTCCTTAGTTGACAAATTTGATTTGTATTTTTTGTTAAAGTTGTCAGCAAGAAAGTGTTCGTTCAAAAAAAAAAAATGTACGGCGAATTTAGGAAATATTTCTGGAACAATCTTATGGTAAGGATGCATTTATTAAGAAGTCTTTGGTTTATGTAACTTTAATTGCATTTCTGCCTGAACGCATCAACAAATTGGAGGAATTCAATTGATTCGCATCAAGTTTAGGAATGAATTAAAATAATAATGTGAAGGAGATGCAAGAGCTTACAAACACGGGTTTAAAAAAGGACCAGGTCTCACGGCAAATTGAAAAGGGAGGGATTTTCAAAAACATTGAGATTACTCTACTTAAGAGAATGTTTTAATTTTTTACCTAGTCTATATGTGTGAGAATACTATTAAAAGTGAAACTGCCGTCCCACACACACACACACCAAAGACATGCTACTGCAATCGTAACAAATCAAAATTAAAAAGAGAGAATAAAAAAATAAACACCTCGTATGTGCAGACTTTATGGTAGAAACAAAAGTAAAAACATCAAACACATAAATACATGTATGCATGCTTGTTAGTTAAAATTGAAGCCCCTCGAAGAAGCTCTACGCTTCAGTCGTTACCACTGAACATCTCTTTGAAAAGGGAAATTTAGTAATAATGCTGCAACAATAACAATTTCAGTCCTTTATACAAACAACCGAAGCTGTACATGTCGCTAAGAGTTAGACTTCGCAGCAGCAAGGTAACATAGTCTACTATTAACTATAATTATGTACGTATGTATGCATGAGATATTTTTACGGTTTGTATGAATTTATGACTGTATCAACACTAACCGCAGTAGAATGGGAACAAAACCATTGTTGTTTACATAGGTAGACATAAAAGTGTACACACATCGCGTCATGTGAATTTTAAACAAGATTAAGTGAATTACAATTTCAATAGGTGCAGCAATTTGACAACATAAAAAGGTTTCACTGGCCAACTTTCCCAATATATCATTCCATGCAGTTATTGGTATTTTTGTGAAATAACCATGAAAAGGTTTAAAAAATAATTTATGTTGAAATAACATTACATACAGCATACAGATTGCCAAGAACATGTCTGAATACTGTTCATGTTGTTGGAATTTTTTTGCACTTCTTTTGATTTATCTTCATTTCACAGCATCAAGGCAATAAATGAAAAATGATGTCGGAAGAAAAAGTACCAAGAGGAGGCTCATTCATTTGAAGAATGATTTAAAAAAACCAGCATCAATAAATTTGCATACAAAAAGAGTTACTCCAACCGTAAATCTGTTTACACCCTCCATATATTAACATTGTCATTTGTAACATCCCTAAATATTCTTCGTAGACCATATATATATATATATATATATATATATATATATATATATATATATATATATATATATATATATATATATATATATATATATATATCGTCTCTGGAACTTGTATATTTTCGAACATTCCATTTCCTCCAGGCGATTCACAATAAATATTTAGTATATATTTATATTATTAGAAGTGAGTGAGTTTAACTACATTTTATATAGTAAGTCTGGGTTAACGTCAACCTCCCGTTTCGTCAACATTCCAACCGCCAACTCATTTTTAATAGCAGTGTTTACTGTAAAACGTCGTCCAAACCTAATCTTGCTAATCTTTTAATATATATATCCCAAAATCAAAAATTGAAGAAATGTGTCTATACGATAATCTGTTGTACAAATCTGAAGAATCACGTCTATTCTAGGGTTTTTTGCACAAAAATCTTTTGCATCAAGTGCCGAAAAGATAGCAATAGCCATGAAGACGGAAAACAACGAATTACTCTTTTATGTTATGCAAATATATTCGGAAAGCACGAAATCTAATTGTTTGTAATCGGGATAACTTCAACTGTGAATTATATTGCACTCCTTTTATAATTGCAATTTTTTCCAGCCAATGTATCGAAACAGCTTTTAAGCCGTTATAAATTCAATAAATTATGTACTAGTGAAAGATGATGTTACACTTCTAGATATCGTATGGTATGGAGTCAGCACAGATACTATGGCTAAATGCTGGAAGATGTGGAAGCAAATATGGACTCAAAGCTTCAACAACTAAGTGCGAGCGAAGATAATAAAATCATTCCTTATGTTTTGTGCTTTGGCAAATTTTGATGAATGATGTTAATACTGGGTCATTTGCAAATAAGGATTTAGATTTGACTGACGATTATGATTACAATGTCGAAGAAATCCTGAAGACAGCAAAAACGATCGTAGCCATCGAAATTGAAGACCGGACCTTGACTTATGTATTAAGACGTCTAAGGTAAAATGCTGCTTTCAATTATATGATAACATCATTAAAACAGCATTAAAAATAAAATATTAATTTTAATACTTTGTTAACGTCACATCCGCGATTTTAATTAGTTGACGTAACCACGAGTGCACTGAACATTGTTTTTAAAATTTTTGCAAATATTGTGCTTGTTGAGCTACAATCAAGGAGAAAACCGCTAAAACAAAATGTATGAGGACTTATACAAGTGAAATATAATGGAGTCGATATTGAATAAATTTGTTCGATTGTGGTTAAAATTGCCGATAACGTTCGAGAATTTAGTGGTCGTCACGTCATGCATGTCCTGAAAACGGATTCGATACTCTTAAGCTACTTCTTATATGATACGTAACCAAAATTTTACCTTTGGACTATTCGATGCCATTTACATGGAAAGTTATTTCCGATACGTTTAATATGGATGGAATCAAATAATATTCCAGGTATGCACTAATGTGTTGTTGTACTCACCTTAAAACAATTTTGCATTTTAAAACTTTTCTCATTTAACTGTTCGACACGTTCAATTTCCGACAATGGTATATCACAGATTGGTTGTTTGCCTTTCGATTTGGCATAGCACAAGGACTGGGTAGTTAGACGAAAATAGCGCTGTTTAAAAGGACGTCGACCAAATCTCTTGCGACATTGCGGGTACTTAGTCATCATTCTGGCAATTATAAAATTGGAAAACATTGTTTTTACTAGGTCGCTTGGATTAACAAATTAGAATATTAAAGTTTTAAATATGGCTAAAGTTACTATATGCATGAAAAATGTAATAAAAAAAAAATAATTTAATTCTTACCCCTCGCTTATGTTAGTAACCATAAAAATAAGGCAACATGTATCAAATGTATATGTGTAGGTATGTGTGGTTGATGGGTATGGATGGACGTTAGGTTGTGCAATATTAGCGTGTGGATGTTGTGGAATGTAATTTGTGTGATTGATGATAAAAATGCAAACGATTAATAAATATTATGTCTATATGCCAAATAGTTGTTTTATTACAAATTCAAAAAAGTTGCCTGAACTTACCCTTCCTTTAGTAATACTGGCTCCAAACTATTCTCTCCAATTGGAAATAGACTGCCGGATTCATGATTTGATCCATTTTCATCGATACTGGGGGTAGAGATATTTTCCAGAAATGCTTTCACTGCCTCAACATGCTTTTCTGTGCAGAATTTTTTATACAACTGTCCGGTGTACTCTTCTTTACAGGGTTGCTGTGAGGAGCGCGAACTTACCAAATTACCCAACGATTGTATTGTTTTAGATATCAGGGTCAAGGTACGATTTGTCTGACAGTCCTGACGAAAGATAGCGGGAAGAAATAATTAAATATTTATAAATTCAAAATCGTGGAAAAATATTTGAAAATTACCAGTGGCTCTGTGGTAAGGTCAAACAGTTTTGGCCCCAGTATGGCCGGTGCAAAAAAACGCAGGAATATAAAACCCGATACAACCGAATATCGAACTTCGCGATTGTGCGGGAAATGACGTCCGGCACATTCTCGCAAGTCATGAAAAATTTGGCACAAGACTTTGGGACAACGTACAGCACTCTTGGTGATGGCGTCAAATACTTTCTCCACGTAGTCTTGCAGGTGATGCAAGTTCGTATCGACCGCTGAACGATCTTTCACTTTGGACGGATCTATTTCACAGGGCTTCTTTTCAGCCAGTATTTGCGCCAGCACGGGTCGAAGCGTTTGGTGTAGATAGTGCAGGCCCGACAAGCGCATCGCCTCGTCCATCATTTTTGATACCAATGTATTGCCACGAAATATGGTTGTCGGATCGGTTAAATTTGAGATCTCGTGGTCTGCCAATGCTTTAATAATTGGTGCTATGCGACCCGTATGTGTAAACAGTCGAACTAGTGGCTGAGATACATCCGTTTTGCACGATACCAATTCCCCAAGTATAAACACTGATGATAAAGTAATGGGCCTCTGATCCACGGACTCGAGCAGCAGATTCATAAGATCATCGTAGGTGGCAAGCGGGAAAACATGATCTGCGGTATAGAGTATTTTTAAACGAAGTGACCCTATTGTGCTATCGCCGCTTAATCGTGTGCCTGGAGGAGTAGCACAAGATCGCGTCGATGGATTCACTGATCGAACTGCGGAGCTTAGCGATCGCGGCTGCAGGTAATACCATGCTGAGGGCTGTATGGATGCTTGTTGTTGTTTGTTGCGCATAGGCAGCTTGACTTCACCAAGAAATACCTTATCGGACATGCCCGAAGCATCGTGCCACACGGACACCGTTATCTCACACAGGTCAGCTCCACCTACTGGATATATTGTGTAGGCTTTGTTCGAGTTAATCGTTCCCCCTCCACTGCTCGAGTCAAAATGTGCCGACTTTGCCGATGACGAAGACTCGCCGTCAATACTCAGATCAAAACTCATGCTCTCATCAAATTCGGGATTAACCGTCTTCTTGCGCAATTTGGTTCGTTTCGATATCTGGCGTTTATTGGAGTACGTGGCCGTACACATGACATATGGATCACAAGTACCATTCTTCTTTGGCAAATCAGTGCACTCTGGGATTCGAATTGTCACGCGAGAATGTTTTCCATTCGCCGCCGTGTTCTTCCAGTTGGTACCATCCTCTATACTCTGTTGGTGCTGATGATGATGTAGATTGAAAATTGAGCCACTGCCACCTCCGGTCCCACCCGTACTTCGATGTTTGTTCGTATTGTTTCGTTGTATATTGCTCAGTTCACTGTTCTCTTTATAGTCGTTCTGTAACGACTGATGCTGCTGCACGAACTCCTCGATAATTTCACTGTTGTTGCGATCGTAATCGCTTGGTCGCAGCATATTAATGCGTTGCTCGTTAATATGTGCGGGTGATTCTTCGAACTGTACCTCGATGTGTGCCATACCCTGCACTTCAGAGTCCGAATCTACCGGCCTCAGTGAAAACCAATGATCCTTATGATTGTACATGTGCAATTCTTCGCGTTTTATGGCAATTTTTCCGATGGGTTTGTCCTGTTTCATGTGTCGATCCCTGTCCCAAACATATACGGATAGATAACGAAAACGTCGTGGAATTTTAAACTGATACTCTTCGCCAAAAAATGGCGACAAAGTGCGTTCTATGGTGGGTGTTCTACAAATTTCTTCCTGATCCAAGGCGATCGTGCAGTATACGTCGCGGGTTCCTTGTGTGCTGCAACTTGTATTCGCCGCATTTCGGCTGCTTAGATTTTTCGCTTCGCCTGAAAAGAAATTACACCGTCATTATTATAATTATTCGAATAACACCTTAATTGGTTATATGCGAATGCGAGTGATACTACTAATGTGACCATAGAATATGTGAACAGAAAAAAACAATCAACTGGCGATAAACACATACTATTGAACTTCCGCTCAAAGAAGCAACCTTGATTGAACGACGCAGCAGAAGTTATTTATTCCACCTATAATTTTTATAAATTACACATTTACTGATATTAATTAGTTATTTAGTTTAATTGCAGCATTAAAAGCCTAAATGCCTTGTTGACGTGACTTCCTCAGTAGTCATATACAGAAGTTACAGATAACTTCGATTTTCCCAAAAAAAAAACCGACCCATCATACAAAAATATTCACGTGTCCCCATTATGGTAATTGATTGTTTTGCGCGGCCATATTACCCAGAAACACAAGCTAGTCATACAAAGTTGACGTAAAAATTCAAAAAAAAAAAAAAAAAAATACAAAACCATTCACAAGTACTATTTCTACAAATTAAGTATTTATTTTAGGCATATGAAAATGTAACTTTATTCTGTAATGACAAAAACGAAACGTAAATTATAGCAGATTCGGTCGCAAAATCTGACCAAACCCTTTAACCGTCATACGGCTCTAAAAGTGTCAATATTTGGTTGGGAAACATAGTTGTTTGTGCATACTTTATGGGCAGTTCGTCGATTATTTTGGCGCGATGCACAACTTTGAAGAACTTTGAAAATTTAGTTTGTTTGATATCAAATAGTGGGTATTAAATTTCAAATGCAACATAAATGGAGGGTATTATGTAGACCTGATCTGGTCAAACAAAATTAAGTAAAATTCTACATAAAGTTTTAATTTAAGAGGCATGAGAAAACATATTTTTTTGGGTATGTGATGGAAACCGAATCGACTGGTTTTGTGGAAACAGAATTGGATACAATTTTTTCTTGGGTAAGGTTCTAACATTCTAACATTTTATGATAATAAGCCTAGTAAATGTAGGAGCACCAATTATCGAACTTATTAGAAAATTGCAAAACAGCACATGGATAGTGTAAAAAAACACCGCAAAAATTCGGTAGTAATGACAGCTAGATACCCCCTACATTACCAGTATACTAAGAATTGAGTTATGTCCATAAAATTTACAAGGCGAAATAACTTACTTTTATCTCACTACCACAAAGTGTGTGATCTTAGTAACGGCGGCTGAGTGCGTGGTGTGTCCAAAGATGTTGTTCAATCACGGTGCATGTGATTCCGGACTACGTCATTTAGGGGAAAGAAGACATGATTTTTACAAGGACATAGTACTGCTAACAGTAGTTTATTTTTCACCTCGATCATGTCTTCTGAAAGGTTCCCTTACTTAATTAAGCTTTCCGTCATAAACGATTTAGTTTATAATAAAAATTAATTATTTGGATGTAAGTCGAATGTTGTTAAAATGTAAAAAAGAGAATGTGTGTTTCGTGGAAACTTTGCGTGGTTTCCTTCAAAAGAAACACAGAAAGTACTACTTCATTCGGAACCACTTCAATTTTATTTAGCTGGATAGTTACTGTATGTCAAAATATACTAAATAAACCGATTTTTCGATAATGAAATTTCATTTCATTTATTTATTTATATGCTGCAATGAAAAAGCAATTTTGGCCAATAAGAATCACAACTGGCGAATAAAAACATATCTTAAAATTATTACATAGCGTATCTTAAAGTAACATATGAAATTATATATAAAAAATATGGTCAGCAGCCCAAGAAAAATGTATTTATATGTCCATTGCTGGTAATAGAAAACTACATTGAATCAAACAATGCTGTTTCGTCATATATCATTAACAAACAAATCGTTAACCTCCACTTGTCTCTGCAAAGTTTCAAATACACCGAAATACACCCCGGGAAAACGGGAACTCATCTGGAAGCTGATTCCAGATTCGTGCCGAATGGACCATGAAAGATCTTTCATTTAGAGATGTAGAAAGGTGTGGAAACATTATTTGCGTATTCCTGGTAGACCGAGAGAACACAAGTCGATCTCGCTGAAAACAGGGAAGATTTAAACAGTTAGAAATGAAACGACGCGTTGTATAACAAAAGTAGAGAATTGCAATCCCAGAAAGAGGACTGCATGTGCACAAATATGGTCGAAACGATGCAAATTATAAACGTTTTTCTATTTTCATAAAATACTCAGAAATCACTTTAATACAATAGGAAATTGCCGAGAATAACATAGAAAAGGCTAGGTTTTTTTTCACAACGAAAGGACAAATAGAAATCAGTTGAGAGTAATTTTCAGAGCATATTTATAACATTATTTGCTAAATTCATGTTCAAATGAAGAAAACAATGTGAATAACTTAATAACCTAACTCGCATTAACTCGTTTAAACAAACGGGTAGAATAGAGTTCCAGTATCACATTTCTACGAAAACTTAATTTAATATTATAGATCAGTTTGGCAGAATCAAAAGAAAACCAGTAAAGAAAGTCCTAAAGTCGGGCGGGGCCGATTTTATGATACCCTACACCACTTTGCTAATTTAGTTGAGCTTTAGTTTAGTTGATTCAAAGGACTAAATATGCCGAAGTACTTGTATCTATTAAATTCGGACTTGTATTGCCCATTTGGTGAAAAATTAATTTGAAATCAGATAAAGATATATATGGGAGCTATATCCAAATCTGAACCGATCTCGATAAAATTTAGCAAAGGTATTTCTGAGCTGCATTTGATATATTTCCCCAAATATTGTAGTTACAGAGTGCATATTACGGCTGTGGAGGACAAAAATAACAAATCGGATGAACAATATATATGGGAGCTATAGCTATATCTGAACCGATTTCGATCAAATTTGGCATACTTATTTTCAGGCCTAATTTGGTTGTATGTGCAAAATTCCATAATATTCGGACTGATATTACACGTTTGGTGCACAATAGAAGGCAAATCGGATGAAGATATATATGGGAGCTATATCTAAATTTTTACCGATTATCTCCAATTTCAATAGGGTTCGTCCTTGGGCCAAACAAATGTTGTTTGCAAAATTTCATCTCAATCGGATAATAAATGCGACCTGCATTTTGTTCACAAGAATACATGGACAGACGGACGGACGGACAGACGGACATGCATAAATCAACTCAAAAAGTGATTCTATGCAGATCATCAAAAGGAACTGTGGGTCTATCTCGTTTCCTTTTGCCTGTTACAAACAAATGCACAAAGACATAATACCCTTACCACCTTGTGGTGTAGGGTATAAACATAGGTATGACAACTAAAATGACAAACAACCGCACTGCTTGCAATATGAATCCGTAAAAATACACTCTAAAACAACAAAGCAGTGCCAGCATCTGCACATGCCTACACTCATACACAGCCAGACCACTCAGCTGCAAATAACTTCTGATGTGAGTACGTACGTGTATATTGGACCGGAAATCGATTTGAGCGCACGTACAAGGTGTACATTTACTAGAACCGCAAAACCAGAACGTCAACAAGAAGATGTACCTCTCCCCTCCTCAACGTAAAAAAACATACAGATCAACGACTACATCAATGTTTAATATCATTTATTGTTGAGGATCTAAAAAAGAATATCTGAAGTTTGCAATTCTACACGAGAATGGGAAAGACAAACTCAGACTCAACAAAAAACGAGTTTACCTCCGAGTCTCCACAAATACGCAGAAGACATTTCACAGATACGATAGACAGCACCATGGGTACGTCCACTACAGAATGCGAACATTCGAGCTGTTGTCGCACCCGAGGGAACAGGAAGACAGTGAACAGATAAAAAAAATAAACACGAGTGAATGAGTGTGAACGTAATCGCACAGCGAATATCAACAAAGTAAATAAATCGCAGTTGCTATTAGTACCAATAACCCCAATGAAGGGTTATGCATAGATGAAAAAAAAAAAATGAATAAATAAAACAGATGTTAAATCTTGGCCGAGATGCACCGCTAAGACGTAATAATAAGGTATAGAAAGGAGAAGCAACACGTGTTCCTCTGTGCGAAACCCGAACGTGCTGTTCAGCGCTAAACACAGACTAACTTTAAATTTGCATACTGGAAAAGATGAATTTAACCAAAGAGGGCAAGTTTACCAGCAGTCGGCACTTTAAGGACTTGCTCATCATCAGAAATCCACTGTTTCGAATGCAAATCTGCTGTTACATTAAATTCTGTTTACTATTAGGTAGAAGAAACAAAGTCGTTCTTAAAACAAAATAGTGAATTTTTGCCAGTGGTCGAAATTCCAATTGTCGGCTTGATATATATTTGATGCAATTTTCTTTTATTTTTCACTTTAGGAAAAAGATTTTACAGTTAAATTCGCATAACATAGACAAATTAAATATGATATTTTAAAGTATTTATTTAATTTTTTACTTAGTTAAAGGTTAAAAAAAGCTTTGGTTTTATCTGAATACGGCATTAGAAAACAAGTAAAAAAACGTTAAGTTCGGCCGGGCCAAACTTTTAATACCCTCCACCTTAGGGTAAAGGAAACATTAGAACCCCTTGTGTCCCACAAATACCAATTTTTAGACACATTCGTGGGAATATGTCGCAAAATCATCAAAATATTGAATATCGGGAGGAACCGCTATATGGGGCTATACAAAAACGTGAACCTATACACACAATGTTTCGCCACCGCAGCCAGAACCCATTATGACCAACAATACCAATTTTTAGACAAATCCGTGAAAAAAATGTGACAAAAACCATCAAAATACCGCATATCGGGAGGTACCATTATATACCAAATCGTGGACCTATACATACAATGTCTTTCCAACGGAGCAAGAACCCATTATGACCAACAAATACCAATTTTTAGACAAATCCGTGAAAAATGTGGCAAAAATCATCAAAATACCGAATATCGGAAGGTACCGTTATATGGGGACTATACCAAAACGTGGACCGATATATCTCATTTTCAATACC